GCCACAAATCAGATTGGACAGAAGTTAAAATCCAGACGATATCATAAACTACGTCACTGCAAACACAAGATGGATGGATGGATAAATTACATCGATTCATTTTATAATATTTAACGTTTATCTTTTTGGCATTTTATTATTGTGCTCGTGTAAAATTCACTGCGTAAATTTAATTTTCTCTTCTAAATTTATATACTCCTGCAGCAACACCAGTGAGAAATTACCACCACTTTAACTTTAAATTAATTGTTGGATTGTTAGACGCAGAAATGTATAAATTTCAATCTAAATTATTTCTTAAGTACTTATCAGATATATTAATTGAGCTTAAACGCCCCGGTTTACGATCGTATTGTTCTCTTAACTCATGTTAAACACTTTTGCTAAATTTGCATTTGCTTTTTCTGGCTCTTTTTTGGATATTTCTACCTTCTTCTCTGACTACTTCTCCCTTACTTACGAAGTTCAGAGCGGATCTTATGACCCATCTGTTTTGCAAAATTCATTGAAAAGCGATGTGGAACATCGTGGAAATAGCGCTTTATAAACTTTTTGGTTGATTGATTGGTTGGTTGATTGAATGATTGATTTTGCTGCTGTATGGCTAATAAACTTTATAAAAGTCAGCTACTAGTTAATAAGAAACAAAAAATTTTATGCTCTAGTGTTTAAGTTGTTAGAACAGAACCGAGATATTCAACTATTTAAACTTTAAAGTTGTTTTGTATAATAAAATTTGAAGATTTTAACGGCACTGCAGCTCCCAAGATGGTGCTATAATGTAAATACAAATTTAAACGTGTGCTGATTAAAATCATTCATGTACGACTTCAAGCCCTATCCTGGTCAGTGTCCTATTTTCTTCAAATGCAAAACTTTTTGCGGCAGACACAGGCAATGTGTCGCATGCAGGCCCGGAACTTGGAGGAGCAAAGGGAGCAAGCTCCTCGGGGAGCAAATTTTAGCGAGCGGCAAAGTTTGAAACGTTTTAAAAATTTATAAAAAATTATTCAAAAAATTTTGATTAAGGTAAATTTGATTATTCCGTTTTACTTTTTTTTGAATTAAGAAAATCAAACGACAAATATGAAAAACGGAATTTTTATCTTGCTTATAATTTTTTAATTGAGCTGTAGTTTCTTTAAATTGTGCTGTAGACGTTGCCGTTTTTAGTTGGCTTCACACCACAAAAATGTTGAACATTTATGCTGAAAAAAAACGTCGTCCTAGTTTTACTCGTCTTTGTCGGTTCTAAAAAAATGGATGGTAGGAAAAGATTTAGTAGTTGCGAGTTTGGAAAATTTGCTAAATTAAAAAGAAAAAAGAAATCGACAAGCTGCCACTAACGACAAATTTTAAAACGATATTTTTCAAAATCTAAAGAATGCTAGAAAAAATCTGTTGAGCGGAATTTTCAGAAAAGAGGAGCACGGAATAAAAAAATGCCTGATGAGTTGTCTGAAAGAAAAAATTCTGGCAAGTGTTGAAAATGTGTCCTAGTATCTATGTTGGAAGTCATTAGCGGGTTGATTACGTTGCAATACAACCTAGCTTTTTAGTTTTTATTGTAATATATTGAATCAGGATTGTTTTTCA